ATGTACTAAAAAGGAGGAGGAAAGTGAGTTCTCTCCAGACGCTGGGGTTTCTACGGGGCGGGGGGAGGGGAGGCGAGTGAACTGGACCGAGGACCTGGCAGATATCGGTGTCTCGGGGGCTGGAGGGGGGGGGGCAAGAGAGAAAGTATCCATAAAACGAAGGAGGGAAAGTGTTCAAGGTTGCTTCTGGGAGCGGCGGAGGTGGAGGGGGGGGGAGATACAGAGTTGCCGGCTGCGCTAACAGAAGCTCCTTTGTGCAGCGCCTTTCAGCTGCTTCGCCGGGCGCCCCTTTTGTTTTTTATATTTTATATATAGATCTATCGATCCATAGATTTATATCTATACTTTGCAAAAAAACCACAACCTTCCCCCTCCCCCGATTGCACTAAGAAAGAGCCCGTGAGAGAAGGAACGGTCTGCTTCTCCACTACCGCCGCCTTTCCCGGCCGCGCCGCCGCCGCCGCTGCTTTCTCGTGGCCTCGGCTCGCATCCCCTTTTGTTGCAAGCGACCGATCGATCCCCGCTACTCCTACTCCTCCGCCTCCGCCTCCGCTCTTTCTCCAAAGGCTGAGCCCGCCCCCGCAGCCAGCCAGCCAGCGAGGAAGCGAAGGCAACGAGCGAGCGAAGCAGGCGCGAGTGCGCCATCCCACGCCACCTCGCCTCCGCTCGCCCCGGCTGCTGCCTCGCCTCCAGGGCCGGCTGGAGACCAGGAAGGAGGAGGAGGAGGAGGAGGACGGACCGGCAGCAGCGGCAGCAGCAGCAGCCGAGGGGCCGGGCCGGAGCGGGTCTGCTGGTGGCGTCGTCGGAGTCGGGCGGCTGCGCTGCGCCCTCCCCTATTGTCTCCGCTCCGGCTCGGGACTGGCTCGGGCGGCCGTCGGCGCGGCAGCACAGCGGGCTCGCGGCGCCATGGTGGTGAGTGAAGGCTCGGGGTGGGCAGGGCAGGAGGGGTCTCTCGTCTGTCTGTCTGTCTGGCTCGGGCGGGGGGAAGGAGAGGGGGCGTCGGCGGAGGGTGGGCATTGGGCAAGCCCTGCTCTCCGGCTGCCGCGACATGCACCTGTTACCATCGAAACCCAGAAGGGGCGCCCCGCGCGACCCAGCCCCGCCGCCGCTGCCGCCGCCGCCGCGCTGGTTCGGCTCCCCACGCCGCGCGCGTGGTTGCATAAGCGGCCAGAGATGAAAGTCTCCGCGAACCTCCTCGACCTCAGCCCCGGCCTCCTCCGGACCCCCCCTCAGGTCAGGAGCCCCGGGAAGGGCATTGGGGGGGGGAGGACTCATCCCGAGGGGATTCCCCCAACCCCTCCCCGCATCGCCCCTTTTCCCCGATGCTTTCCCTCTCCCCAGCTCCAGAGAACCAGGTGTGAGGAAAAGTCTTTGAACTCAGGGCAGTGAACGGTTTGGATGTCCTCAGCAGACCCCCAACCCCCACAAGGCTAAAATGCCTCTGCCCAGATCTTCATTATCATTATCATTATCATTATCATATTTGGTGAAAATCAGATTATTATTAATAATAATTTTATTATTATTATTCAATTATTTTATTATTAGCAATTTTTAAAATTTATTTCTGTGTTTCCCTGAAAATAAGGCAGGGTCTTATTTTCTTTTGACCCCGAAATAAGCACTTGGCCTTATTGGGGGGAGGTCTTATTATTTTTGAGGTGCTGCTGTGTTGCAATATTTTTGGGGAGGCCTTATTTTCAGGGGAGGGCTTATTTTAGGACATGCACTCAAAAACCCTATTGGGCTTATTATCTGGGTAGGTCTTATTTTGGGGGAAACGGGGTATTTAAAAAAAGGATCCCTCAGGGACATCTCCAAGCCTTCCTTACCCTGGCTATCGTCCATATTAGATCGGATCTACATATGGTAAAATATTAGATACGATCCTCACTGCCCCATTATTACCTTTCTCCACTTTACATAAGCTCAGTTCTTGGGAAGCTGTTGAGATGAGTTCCCAGGCCTAGTCAGCTGGATTGCACTCTTAAGAAGCAAGAAAGGCAGAAATAGGCCATTAAGAGGAGGAATAGAAATGTCAGTGATGC